CAATTTACGAGTTGCTTGGCATTTTTAATATCACTACGTTGTGATAAAGAGCTGCAAGAGAAAAAGTCCATAATTTTTTGGGTGCTTAAATTTTCTGACGACACTAAATTAAGAGGAGGGTCGAAAAATGCAGACCAGTTGAAACCGGACTTAGAGAAACTAGTGAACTTACACTTTTGCTTCTCTGTGTCAGATGTTGTTCAATTGTGATAAGTGTAAGGTGATGGATATGGGTAGTTCTGGCGGTGGCAGCACTAGCTTTAAAATTGGAGGCCGAGGGTTGAACCAGATTGAGGAAAAAAAATTTAGAGATCACAATTTCCGATGATTGTTAGGATGAAAAGCAATGGAGGGCTGTTAATAGCAGGACACTTTTGAAGCTGGGGCTTATTAACAAGAATGCCCATTACGAAAATAGGAATGTTGTTGAAGAATGTACTTGGCTTTTGTCAGACCACGCCTAGAGTATTGTGTACGGGCTTGGTCATCATGCTTTAAAAAAATAAAAAAAAATAGATGAACTGGATAGAATACGGCGAAAAGGAACCAGGATGAAAAATGAGATTGGCAACTTAGAGCATAATGACAGGCTAAGGCTTTGAATTTGTATTCAATGAAACATCATAGACTTAGAGGGGATTCGATAGAGATATTCGATATTATGAAAGGGATAGATAAGGTAGATCTACAAGAAACACTGAAAATTAGGCTGAGAGTTAAAGGAAATAAGTTTTAATGAGCAAAAGGTAGGAGGAGCACTATAAAAAGGCGGATGTCATTTACTCATAGAGTAGCGAATCATTGGAATGGAGTAACAAACAATGCTGTAGGAAGTCTCCCTCCGGCAACATTTAAAAATCGGTTGGACAAGTTCTGTCGGTCTAAGGACCTCACGTTTAGCTAAATTCGGGCAGGTCAGGTGGTAAGATTAGTGTCAAGGATGGGTGCAGAACCTGCTGTAGGCCAGTTCCGATGAGCCCTTGCGTCTGTTGGCCTGATATCTTCAATCTTCATTTTGAGTTGCTGAACAATGTTGAGGGTTCAAAAGCTATTTTTGGAGGCAGATTCGTCTTCTTGGTGCAGTAGAAAGGAATTACAAAATCTTCCAGGTGGGACCCGTCCGTTTAAGCCAACGTCATGAAACTATATGGCTCCTGGCCGATACAATGCAGGTTTAAGTCTTGAAGTTCTGGTGAAACTACTCCTAAGTCTTGAGGTTCTGGTGAAACTACCCTTACGTCTTGAGGTTCCGGCGAAACTACCCTTGAGTCTTGAGGTTCTGGCGAAACTACCCTCAAGTCTTCAGGTTCTGGCGAAGAACAGCAAAACAAATGGGAGTTTATTTTTTGCAATATATGGGGGAAATGTGCCATCGGTACACGTCAAAAGAGGCTCTCGCACGTGCGTTCTTGCTGCGGTAGAAGGATCTATACATAGACTATGCTTTCTTGGCCCGTCGACAGGCCAAACCCAGAAAGATAATGGGGCAACACGGGACGTAGGTGGCGGAACGTATGGAGAGTCGGGCATGGCTGCCCAGGGAAGTCGTCAAAATACGCAGATTTTGTGTCTTCCTCAAACCAGATTAGTCGTTTCCACGAAAGTGACGTTGACAACAAAACGTGATCTGTCTTTAGTGATATGGGGTTCAGCGCACGGGTACTTAGAACTATGACTCACTAAGACCACTGTTTCTCGGTTTCCTCTTTGATACAGCCTGAGGAAGATGGCTTGTTGGAATTCACTTGTAAGCCCAACACATATGATGAGTGGTGAGCTTACCACTTACAGATGAATCATATCCTGTTTGACGAGTCAGCAGACCTCTGGCCTCAAGGTCAGGATTAAGCATGGTCACAAAACGCAGTTGAATGACATGGATCTGGATGGATCGGCATGGATATCTCGCCCCCCCCCCCCCCTTCTTTGACCAGCCGTTTTGCCCCATGGAACACATCAAAAGGGTAGCACTCCACGATCCTCGTCTTAGGATCAGAAGTCGGATCAGAGGATCGGAAGTCAGATCAGAGGCTCTCGTAGCTAATGGGGGAGCGGCACGCCATTGAAATGATACGGCGTAAAACGAGAATTGATGTGGAAGGTGGGCGATACCGGTGGCGTAGGTGGGATTTGGGTGGAGGGGAGCGCAAGTTGGACTAGCGGGCCCTCTTAAGCAATGAAGCTCATGTGGTTAAGGTTACTTTATGGCGTACAACGGTGCTTCATATGGGTGGTGGCTTATGTCCCATGTCTTAGAGCATCCAGGTGACTCAGTTTTCAACTGTTTTTAATCTCAATTAAATACGACCTGTTCCAGGTACACAGCGTTGCCCCTGGAGCCAGAAAATAGGAAGGACTGATATCCAGCAGGCGAAACTAATCGGATTGCTAATGTTTTTTTTCTGTTCGCTACAAAGCCGCCTGTCACGTCTCATGCACTTGCTTAGAGAGTAGCAATGGTCATCGCAGTCGAGATCAGTCCCGGATGGACTCGAAAGATCTGGTCTGAGTGGAGAGGACGATGGACCTACGGCAGACCCCGAGCCTCCCTGGAAGCGTACCGCTTCCATACACCCAAACATCGCAGTCGAGATCAGTCCCGGATGGACTCGAAAGATCTGGTCTGAGTGGAGAGGACGATGGACCTACGACAGACCCCGAACCTCCCTGGAAGCGTACCGCTTCCATACCCCCAAACATCGCAGTCGAGATCAGTCCCGGATGGACTCGAAAGATCTGGTCTGAGTGGAGAGGACGATGGACCTACGGCAGACCCCGAACCTCCCTGGAAGCGTACCGCTTCCATACCCCCAAACATCGCAGTCGAGATCAGTCCCGGATGGACTCGAAAGATCTGGTCTGAGTGGAGAGGACGATGGACCTACGACAGACCCCGAACCTCCCTGGAAGCGTACCGCTTCCATACCCCCAAACATCGCAGTCGAGATCAGTCCCGGATGGACTCGAAAGATCTGGTCTGAGTGGAGAGGACGATGGACCTACGGCAGACCCCGAACCTCCCTGGAAGCGTACCGCTTCCATACCCCCAAACATCGCACCGCCATCCTACCTGGGAGACGTACGCTTGCATTTACCGTCTCTGGTTTGCGATGCTATGAAGTCCCGCCGTGTGCGATGGGACGGGAAGACAGTTAAAGAATTTTTACTAGACAACCAAAACAAAAACAAAAAAACAAAGTGACATGCATGTATGTCTGCGTACACTTTTCCGGCATGCAAGAGCCCTTTTATATGCCGCGGGATGTTCAGATAGCCCGGAACCCACTTTGTCAGGTTCCCACCCACCCACATCCACAAGAATCCACAAGAACACACCGACAGGCAGAGAACCAGTCTGTTTGTCGACGGGAGGCTTCACCAACAACCCGTCGGGTGGTCCTTTCTGGTCTGCAAGGGCATCTTTATAAGCAAACAGGGACCCGCTGAAGCAGGCCACGCCAGCATGCAGGCAACCTATTGTTTAACTGTTATGGACCCCGCCGGATTACAATGATCCTCTGGTCTTTACTTGATGGCCTGTTACACTCTAGTGAGGCCCTATTGAAAGTGGATACAGAGTTTTGCTGGCCGACGGGCGTCTTTTTACGGAGTTCTCATTTAACCGTGGGGATGCAACTGCCATCCTGATGGATGCCCCTCACAGGTCAACAAGGGTGTTTATGGGGCAAGCCCCCCCCCCTTTACCCTCCCGAGGGAGCGTTCAGGGGCACCTACCTACTAGTCTGTTGGGGCCCACTGCCCACTTGGATCACTTGGAGAGGGCCCCTGCTGTCGGCCTCCGTGGAGAGCTCCTCTGCCGGTCTGTAAAAGGCCGCTAGTGTGCCGCTCAGATACACTCTACCGGCTTGCGAAAGGACCCACTGCACCGGCAGGGTCCTGTGTCTGTCTGCCATGATGCTCCTCCTGCTGGCGGGTGCCCTTGACTTTTCAGGACGGCGGTAGTATCTATGTGGGCCAGTCGGGACCGCTTACAAGCAAACGGATACTCTTGGGGCAAGCAGGTATCCTTTACAACCCAGCGGCAAGTCTCTTGGGGCCAGCAGGGGCCCTGTACAAACCAGCGGAGAGTCTCTTGGGACCAGCAGGATCCAATTACAAGCCAGCGGAAGGTCTCTTGCGGCCAGCAGAGCCCTTGTACAAGGCAGTGGAGGGTGTCTTATAGCCAGCAGGGCACCTTGACGAGCCAAAAGGAGAAGTTCCTTTCGAATGCCAACAAAGATCACTTGTGGGCCGGTAGGGGAGGGCTCTTTCAGAACAATAAGCCCAAAAAACTAGTACGGGCCCTGCACGTTCATTGAAATCGCTGCAGAAGCCTAGAGAGGGCCCTTTCAAAGTAATGAGCCCCAAAAAGCCAGTACGGGCCCTGTACGCTCCTCTAATCACTGCGAGGGCCTCCCGTCATGGGACACATTGACCACCTGCGTACATTCGGAGTACGTGCCTTAAAGCTAAATTTGGGGGCGCACTGGGATACCAGGGAGCCACGGTCCCGTCGCGTCTCCTCCGATACGCCAGTGGGCAAATTAAACGCATCTGGGACCAAATAAAGCGCTCCTCTGAAATCCTTCAACGGGACATTGCGTGACGTGTCGGGGTGCCGTGGCTCCAGGCATGTTATCCACCGAAGCCAAAAGGTATCGAGCTACGGCGCAAGATGCTTAAAGTGTGCAGTTGCTCTGTTTTGCCTTCATTTTTCTCCACGATATCGCGACATTTCAGGCATGTGTTGATGCAGAGCCCATCGAAAAGCAGCGTGGAAAACTAGCGGCGGCGTCGGCAATTAGAGATTGGACTGTGCCGTGGTGACGACGACATGCGTATCTTCAGATCGGTACAGTGTGCACCGACCACAGGGAGCAGGCGGGGGCCGTAGCTGGAGCCGGAGCAGGAGCCGGAGCAGGAGCCGGAGCAGGAGCCGGAGCCGAGTGGCGGGTATTCGTCACTCAGAGCCGCCACCAAACCACACCATAACTCGTAGATATTTCACACCTCATTGTTTTTATTCAGGACGCCATGATCGTTTTATTACTGTGCTAACGAAACACAAATAAAACGCAAGACACCACCCTACTTTAAATGATTTAATAAAATCTACCGGCAATGCGAAAAATCAATTAAAATGTTCATCGCTCTTCCGGTGGCTTGCCACTGCTGTTACGACTTGACGATGAACTCAGGCGATGGGACAACCTTTCATTGCCAGATGTCAGCCGTGAAAGGAAGATACCAACATCGTGAGAGACGCCGATTGAAAAGGACCACGAGTGAAGGTGGCTGGCCTCGCGCCTAAAGTATACTTAGCGGGCCTAACGGGCCTAACAGGCCTAGCGGGCCAGCTTTATAACTTCACTGTTACCACTACCGAATACAGATAAAATAAACCCGCTTCCCTCGTCTTATACAGCATCCAAGGCCTCGTGTTCACGAGATATAGTACGACTTTCGTGCCAGCAAGTTCTGAAATCCGTTGACGTGGCAATGAGCTTGTGTTACTTCACGCTGATCTTCCCTGAAAATAGTTGGACGTATTTCAGGGCTTAAACGAAGCGACATCAAGAAAACCGTTTCTGCTTCGCTTTCATTGTCAAAAACTCTTTAACAGCACGCAGAAATGCACCCTTCACATATAGCCTCCAGGCATGATTAATCTCTGCACTAGTACGGCTACATCTGCACTGCACTGACAATTACATAATTTGTCACAGTCTGGTCACTTGGATCAAACAAGTAATAAAGACTACGAAAATATTAACAAATCTACGAAAGATGTGACATAGGAAACAAACTTCCCCAAAATAAATTACCTCAAGCAGACACGGCACTCAGCTCGTAAAAGTTCTTGAAATCTTCGACAACAGTTCCCCTGAAAGATCAGACGAGTTATATTAGCATTCACATGCAAGGTAAACAATCCCCCTTGAATAGCCCCGAGCACTCGCAAGCGCACATAAATTGCTTGCTTTTTTGCATTTTAAGATGGGCAGATGCCCAAGAAGCAGTGCCTGAAAACAGGATAAGGCATTGGCAATGCAACGATTGGGCTCCTTGTGGTCAAAGTGGCATCAGTGCGTGACGACAATCTACACACTGCGACCTTAATACAAGTATTATATATATATATATATATATATATATATATATATATATATATATTTACTTAGTATATATACTTAATTAAGTACAAAATACTACTGCCGCAGCCCGCGCTTCAAGTGAACGCACGTCGACACTCCCCGGCAAACAGTACACAGACTCAGCAGCACACAAACCCAGCCACCAAAAATGCTCAAAGGGCCGCCGAACCGAGGATTCGCCCCGTTGACGTGCCCCGCGGTAACGAGGTCCCGGTCCAGCCGCAGCAGCCAGCCGCAGTCAGGGTCGCTACGCCCGCGAGCACTCACTTGAAGGAGACTGTGCCGCTCCCAGACGGCTTCCACGTGGCCGAGACGGAGGTCTTAGGAATGGCGTTTTTGTGACGGATGGTGGCCTGTGGGGGGGGGGGGGGGGCAGCGGGTTAGAGTTGCCGGCATCAGGTTCCGACCGAGTGGCGTGCCCTTCCGTCCGGGTCGTCCGCGAATGGGGCACGCAGCCACTGACCAACCCAATCCAATCTATGCATCGCCGACCGCTGCCGACCTATGTACCGCTGGCTCTTAGCGGACACACCGCGACGCCAGCCGGCTGGAGCGACCTAGCCTACGGGCTTATGCGCTTCAACCACTGAGGCCCTCGCCGGGCGCTAGTGGTCATAAGACGTCCGTCGCACGTTCCAGTCAGCCATCAACACTGCAGCCACACGAGTGGAACACGTTCTCCAGTCAACATCCGCGGGAAGATGCATCAGCCTAACGTCGGGCACAACACGCGCCACTTCAGCGGAAGCGCCGTCTTTTTCGCTGATGAGACGCTGGCCCACCTGAACCTCATCACCTCACCTGGGAGCAGCCGACCTTGATCGCGTCGGACCCGAAGCTAAACTCGCCAGCCGGACCGCTGCTCTGTATGATGAAGCCCTTGAAGGGTTGCGATCCAGACAGCTTCACTGCCGGCAGTGGGGGTAACACTTCAACCGGCTTCATCGGCCGCAGGAACATTGCTATTTTGGACGGCTCCAATTTGCGATATACTGTGATGGACTACGTAGCGAGTGTAACGACTGTGTGTAACGACTACGTAGGCGAGTAGTAGCGAGTGTGGCGACGTTAACAGCGCTCTGAGGATTTCCTAATCCACAGTTCTGAAGGATCAAATAACTCAATGTTGCCAGAACTTCTGGTTATTTCACGAACATTCAACAAAGAGAAGGGGGTCCAGGCTTTGCAGTGAGGCGCCTTGACTTGGTGGAATTTAAATATGCGTTAAGTTTTGGAAACCGGGCAAAAATAATCCACACAGGTACATATGATCGAAAACTCACGATCCTACTCCAGTTGGAACTGGTGCGTTGCAATTATGCAACCTTTGTGATTTAGTAAAAATAAGTAAAGCAATGAAATACGTGTTACTAAAATGTTTCTCATTTCCAGTGGTGACTTAGTACTGCTGCAAATATTAAATATTTTCAAAAGATTTCAAAAGACAAAAGGTAGTATTCTAACATTAGTATTTTAAGATTAACTTAAGTTCTCTCATGCCTTCTTTAAATATGGACATCATTGTATACTCAAGGGCATGCACTTTCAGCACAAGAACTTCGAATTCCGAACCGAAACATACGCTTTTTGCCAATGATACCAGTTGGCGGTTGCAGAGGTTAATCTATCGCCAGTTATTAAAAATTTTAGCAGGCGCAATGTTCACATCCGCAAGGCAATCTTGCCCACCGGTTGTCCCAATGAACGCCGTGAAACACGCAATATACGATGCTTAAGCTGTCTTTGCTGTCTCCACCAGCGAAACCGAAACGCACGTCGCACCTGAGACGCTGCCGTCGGCGAGCCTGGATGCCGACAGCTGGTAGGCGCTGTTGGGCGGCTTCCGCTCGGGTCCGTGCAGCGGCACCAGCGTCGAACACGCGTGCGTCTCCTGCGAGCTACCCTTCTCGAATTCCCGCATGCTATATCCTGCCACCATGGTGGCGCTGAGCGCCACCGTCGCCACCAACAGCAGCTGCATTATAGTTCCTGGCGGGGGGACAGAGGTGCGTTTGAAGTGGTCTGGAAATGGCTGTTTATGCACGTTGCGAGGGAATCGAATTAAGTCACCTATCAGCGACAAACCTATGTAGCCACACAACCACACCCATTGAAAAGTTTAGGTGGCATTTGGCAACAGGACCGCCAATGCGACCGACCATTACTCATGACAATCTCTCGCTGCGCGTCGGAGGACACGCGCACTCTTCTCACCCCGACGAAAGACGTGTGTGTCGTTGGGGCTTTACGACGCATTCAGCTGGTGAGCCTATATGGCGTCGCCTGCCTCTCACCATGGCAGGGAGGGCGGGCACCGTGGGGAATCGAACCCCGCACCTCTGATTTCCCAGACACGCATTAAACGCAGACGCGTTAACCACTATACTACCGGCACCCAACTGACTGACGAGAAGACGCTAGGTCCCACGGCTACTTTGACCCGGAGGTGGACGCGCGAGGTCACTGACGCGGAGGCGGTCGTCGACCCTGAACAGCAGCCGGGTACCGTTACTAATCCGGATAACGCTGCCGCGTCGCACCCTGATCTCCAGTCAGCCCCCAGGGCGGCCAGGGCAGCGCAGATAGCACAGCAGTGCATTAGTGATCGCGTTGAAGGTGGCGAATGACGCGAGGACTCGTTGAAACTGCATTTGCCTTAACGTTTAAGTAATCATGGATACTTCCAGCGAAGGCATCTACACGTCAGCAGACTTAACGACAAAAAAACAGCCACAGCTAGTGAGTCTGGTGCATCATTCGTGCAGCGGCGATCAAGCTCTATCAGACCCTTGAGCAGTCTATGTCAAACGTGGCATTTTGCATACATATTGCTGGATGAAGGGCAAACAACTCACAGAAAGAGATAGATAAACCATGAGGACACGGTTCAGCTTCTACGTCAGTGCCACCACAACTGGTTGTGAGTTTAGTATCTTCAAAGGGCATGTTTTCTACCTATACAGAATAAATGCAGATGCACATACATACATACACAAACACATGCAGACAGATGCTTATTCACTTCGCTCGTATAGCATTTTAAAGATCATTTCGAAGAATGCATCCTAAGACTGAAGACTGAAGACTGACAGGAGAGATCAATTCCAGCGTTGGCAACTTGGGGAACAGGAAAAATTACCTAGCATGGTTGCAACATTTTGCGATCTTGCACCATCCGAAATATTTTACGGCATATAGCTCGAGCCAGACACCGCAAAAGACAAGCGTGCGTGCAATGTGTGTGGCAACTTGTGTTGCAATGTTGCGAAATCAGATTTGAGCACTTTCCCACGTTCTGTGATTTTCTTTTTTAAATTCAACAAATTCTGTGAAACCTCCACGATCTTTCAAAAAAGAAACATGGCAAAACGTCGGCGCCACCACCATTCATCGCATCTCCGTGCCCCAATCAAAGCGCGCGTTCCATATCTGTATGGGGTTTCGAACTGAGACCGCCACCCTGAAGATCACGCTGCGCAGTTCACAGCCCTGGCCTCCGTAAGACCTAAACCTCTCTAGTTTCTGAGCTACCCGCCCGCGGAGATGTGGAGACTATTTCGGGAGACTATTTCAAAGTCACCCATGCGCCTATGACGCCAATATAACGCAATTCAAATTCTGTCATGGTAGCCATGCAGTGATCAAGACCAAGACCGATATAATTGTGCATTGGCTCATATATGGCGTTCGTGAGCATGATTTCCAGATGTAACAGCTGCCAAATGGCCCTCAATCGTTGTTTTGCAAGATATGATAACGCAGTCAAACAATGGCGCATTGAGGAGCGTCACCAAACAGAGGAATTGGGTTGTCTAGAACAGTCTTTTCCATTTCGTAGTAGCTACATGTAAGCTTTGTCATATATACCAATGATTGTTTTGATATCTTTGAAGGTGAACATTTCCTTAAATGGTAAGAGCACTCCCGCGTCACATCACGGTTGCAACAACACGCACAAAAAACGGGTCATATCTTCTCTAGCCCACAGAGTTACTTGGTTGATGTCACACACACGATAGGGCGGTCCACTGCGGTGCATGCAGAATGCCCGAGCCTAGGACAAAATGTCCGGGACTCAGACATTGTCCGGGACTCGGGCACTGCCCGGACTCTGGCACAAAGACCGGGGCTCGGGCGCTTCGGGCAAACAGTCAGACTCAGTAAATGAGCCTACAGACATGTGTTAGTGTGAGAACGCACGTGCGGATAGCACCATCACCATCGGCACCCCTGCCGACCGCCTGAGCTCCCGCGTAATTTAATAGAGCCCACAAATCCCTATGTGGGCGGTGACGCTGGGGGCGGTGGGAACAAGTCACGCACCACACTTCACACCGCGAGTGATTCTCTGCATGTAAATACTAAGGCCAAGGCTCCCCCTCCAATCACGAGCCGGGATATTCGCCTTGAGCAAGCGCTCATCTTATTCTCTTCCCACACGCCCACCGGGAGCTGAAAAGGAGATGGACTAGGCCAACAACCCATGCCAAAACGTGGGCATGTGGTGGTCCATAAAGCCACATCACAAAACCCAAATTTTGGCAAACCCAGTTCTCTCGGTGACGCGCAGCGGACAGTTATGCGCGCAAGGACGCGGTCTACAACACCTGGGCAGCGTCAGTAGCCGCGGCCGCTGCACCCTCAGCGCCCAAAACCCACATGGTTGCAACAAACGCCCGCGCACCTGCGCGGGCGCAGACGGCCACACCACCTACCTGCGCGACCAACCAGAGTCAACTGCCGTGCGGGACGCCGCCTCCCGGCCGCGCCGGTCGGCCGCCCCGCCCGGGGGCATGCCGCGGCTCGGCGCGTTTTTATCGCCGCAATCGGCCAGGGATTTCCAGCGGCTTCCAGCGCTCGCCGCTCAAGGTGACATTGGCCGCGCGCCAAGTGCCATCCTGGCGCGGATCCCGCCGGCAGCGCACCAAGGCCTTCCTAGTATGGCCTTCCTAGTTGTTGATCAGGTGGGCGGAGGCTCGCGCTGGAGCTGGCGGCGCAACGCCGGCGCTTGGTCCGAGGGAGGACGTGTTTTCGGAGGTCTGTGTATTGTATGTACGCTTCAGGTGCTCCGTGGGGTTTACTCATGCTGCGCCCGGCGCTGCTTGAGGCATTTCGCCGACGGTGAGCGCCGCGAGGCAAAAGTGTTTATCCCAGAGGTCTTTCTCAGGGTTAAGTGGTCGGATCGAAGCGATTTGAGCTGCAATCGGTGCTCCTGGGCAATGCGACCTGGCAGCTGTACAGTACATGTCTTCACATGACTGATGACGTCAAAATTGGAGCAAAATGTTATAAAATAGGCTCAACAAAATCACTGAATGGTTCCAGAACTCTCCAGCACCCCTGATAATGGTTGTATAGCGAGGTAGAGTGCAAATTCAGGAAGGCGGAAGACGGTGTTCAAGAACCGTGCCAGAACGTTGACAAATCAATCGCAGAACAAGACCAGCTCCGGCCAAATTGGGTGCTTCAATATTTGCCGGTGGGCAGGGCTGTCCACACGGGAAAAACCCGCGCGGTCAAACATATTTTCCAAACTTTCTGCCGCTCGTTCGAGTATTCGTCACTTCAGCCGGACCTAGGCGGCGGATCTTGTCCGGTCGGCCGATGTTCGCCGAAGTCGTCGCTGGAAACGAAGCAAGTCACAGAAAAAAGTATGGCCGGCTGAGTCAACCAGCTAAATGTCCACTGTGATGTGCCTCTCGGTTGAGGCGAAGTACGTGCTCTTGTGTTTGAGCGCTGTGATAAGTCTCCGGTAACAATGATAATCCGATAAAAATTTTGCAAGAGCTCATCTGATTGCCGCCGCTTGATACGGCTTCTTAGAATTTCGTGCGATTAAAGGGAATGGTTGACATTAGGAGATAATGGAGCAGGTATCACAAATGATAAACAAGCTCACTTGAACTATTCGAATATACTCTTTAACTGGAAGAGACTGCTCTAGACAACACGATTCTGCATTTAACAAATATGCTCCTCAATGCGTTATAGCTTTATTGCGTCATCGTACCTTGCACCACATTGGTTGAGAGCCAATTGACGGCCGTGATATCTGGAACTGACGCTCATGAGCCCCAAATGTAATCGTTTCGACAATTGTATTTTTGGGGCCTTGATTGGTGCATGGCATATGGAATGGCAGGATTTGGATGACGTTGTTGTGATGTCATGAATGCCAAAGTGACTTTGAAATACTTTCCCTGACATACATTTCCCCATTTTCGCTGGCGTGTAGCTCAGAAACTAGAGGGGCTTAGGCCTTAAGAAGGGCAGGATTGGGAAATGCACCAAAGGCCTTCAACATGGCTATCTTAATTTAAGACACCTATAAATGTGGAACACTCCCTTTAACTACCATTCTGTGTGATACTAAGAACTACGCACTTCACGGAAATCGCCAGCAAGACTGACCCGGTAGGTTGCGCTGCGCATGCAAAAGCAGGGGGATGTCGAAACAAGCCTGAACGATAAGGTTCTTGTCCTGCCCTTGCAAATCCGAAGATAACATCCTTATCATAGGGCTGCTCTTGAATGCAATAAGCATGTCGCTATGCTATTGTGTAGGAAAACCCGAATTTTTTGGAAAGTGACTATCTGCAGCCTGCCTCTGAAAGGCGATGAGCCCTGAGGATCGGTCCCGGCCCGCGCCAGCAGCGCCCAGCAGACCCCAACAACGCTGCGGTCAAGACTAAGAACAATGCTTTAAGCGGGATAAAGTCAAAAGACTAACGCGGGATTCAGCCAGGCAATTTAAGAAGAATGCCATCAGCGATTTAAAGGGACTAGCCCGCAGTGGCAGGAGGTTTACGTTGAGATAGCCAGGCTCACGACCATGCCGAGAAATTCCAAGCGATGCCCTGTTTGAGACTGAAAATCTTCCAGCTTGTGAGCGAGATGCAAATTAATTTGCGCGGACAATCTGGTGACAGCCAGCCTCATGATGACGTAATAAGATGAGAATGGCGTAATGGGGACGTCACGGGGGCACGACACCTCCGTCAGGCGATGAATCCTGGTTAGCAGTACTCAACAGCGAAAAACTGCGCTGGAAGCAAAACATCGGGCCGAGGTTTTGTAGATTGGCATTTCCATTTGGAAAACCTTTGCAAATGGCAATGCCAATTTGCCTACCATCAATATTTGTCTTTATCTTTATTGACCGAAATATGCTAATATTTCGATTAATCACTGGACGTAATTGATCGAAATATTGACATCATATGCGATCGGTATTGGTGAACACGACGGATCTAAAAAGGGCAAAATTGCAAATTTTCTGCACGGTCATGAAATTGGCTGTCTGAAAATGAAAGTGGCTGTCTCTCCTCGAACTGCATACGGAAGTGCTAAAGTCCCTTTAACACGTGCTCGGCAATCTTGCCCCCTACCCGAAAGTTGTTTCCACAATAACCTCCAAACCGTGCTGCGCAGCGGTACCAAATTTTGAAAAGCTGTAGGGAATTAAGTAGCCGATATTTTGATTCATTAGGCAAGAGTATCTCGCACGGATACTGGCCTATGGCATGTCAAAGTAAGGTTGTAGCTGTTAGTGAAGGCAAGAGCTAGGATTTCGTTCGATATGATGTCACAACGGAATGTTAGACGAACCGTGGACCTTTGAGATGGTTTCTTAGACAATTATATAAGTTAATTTAGGTTAACGACTAATCCTATTGAACTTGGATCACTTGGACATGGGTGGGTGGGTCACTTGGAACTTGGTATGGGGGCCGGATCGAGGGTCAGAGGTGAACTGCTTTTTTACTGAACAACTCGCTCTTTGAGGTAAATTTTGAGGCCCATTTTGGATGCCTTCACCACCTGGAGGTCATCACCCTGACCTGAAAGGGCCTCGATCAACGTTCTACTTTCAGGATCATGCTAACTAACGTAATTATTGACGCTGATTTAAGCCATCTAGTGGGTATTTGGCCAAGGCCACTCGTTTGAAATAAACGCCAATAACAAGTTGTTTAGAAGAGGTACCTGGGTAAAAGGTGATTGCATGAGGAGGTCTGCGGGCACTTCGGACATCGATGTGGAGTTTGAACATCTTTGACCTTGTTTGGCCCAAATGGCATGACAGAGGAACGTCAAAGTATTGCAAGAGTGAGTTCACGTGCAGCCCCACATCCCTGTAAATTTAATGTCATTAGCTTTCTTTTTTGAGATATTAGGTGGGTGAGATTGACCCCGAATCCGAGTGATTGTACATTCCACCCTGGCGCGTATTAAAGGCAGTGTTCCACATCTGTGTGTGTTTTAAACTGAGATAGCCAACTTTCCCCATCGTGATTCGCCGATTTTCATAACACGGGCTGATGGCGAGGGCGATGCGAACCCCTGCTTTTTCCAAACTTATGAACATAGGGCTCTCCAGAAAACCAGTGGATTTGTCTTAACGAGATCTCGCGATTGTTAATGATAGCGATTGTTTATGGTTCTAGGCCAGTGATTGACCCCATTATGCCAGGTCAAAGGTAAAATTACCCCCAAATTGCGTTTTTTCAGCTTTGCATCCTCCTGTGTTCTAGACTGAGCCTTGTAACGACATAAAATATATAAAACATGTGTCTGGTTTGGTTTTGAGCAGAATGGTGTATACTTTGATTATTTTGAACATACATTTAAGATATATGGCTATGTCCATGTAACCACATCGGCCCGCCGCGCGCATTCCGCGGCATGGTCAGTTGCCGCCCGCTGCCCGCGCCGACCGTAACTCGCCGAGCAGGGTTCCTCAAAACCCGTCACTGGTCTGAAACCAGACAAGCTAAGGGGATGTATTTTGCGTCAGAACGCGTGCAATGCATGCTCCATAGATTGCTAGATATTTGAATGCGATTGCACAATATGCCGGAGAGGTATCTTGAACAAAAGCCTTAGGGTGGTGGGTCGCATCGACGCTCCCACCACACTATCAGCGCGAACACTAAAATCCGTTGGTGCAGTTCGCAGCACCATCCTGTTAATACTAAAAATCCTTTGGTTCCTGAGCTCGATGCCGCAAACGTGTGCATACTATTTCGTGATGACTATTTCAAGCTTTCCCAGCCATGAACGACGCCATAGCAATGCCACTCATCTACTGCCACCTCATTGAGTCATGCAGTACTCAAGGCTACGGGAGATATCATCATCGAGGTATTTGTGTCCGTTGTCCATCTCACGATATCTGGCATCAGTGGGCTCCAATTGGCCCCAAATCAAGGTGACGTGTTTCATGAAAGTCTCGAAGGCGAATCCCGTTTTGTGCTATGCAATATGGAAACTTTGGCAGTGGTAAGATTTATGAGGAAAATAAGGCTAGGAATTGAATAACGTAAGAACAGCGCCACGACCGAGCATGTGAATGCGAGTAAACAATACAAATTCGCAGACAAGTATGCAAGAGAACCACGAGAAAGGGCCAAAACACGCGCGCGTAGTGAGAAGTTGAAGTCCTAAAAGTGAGCCAGCTTGTCCGCTACGGTGCCAATTTCGCCAGTTTGGCCAGCCAGTTTGGCCAAACTGGCAATTTGGCGGCCAGTCTGACGTCATACAGGCGTTCCATGATGTCATTAACGATGACATATTGAATAGCATTTTCACTAAATATTGAAACTATGTTGTCTGGAGTAGCATTTTGCATTTAAAACCATACCAATAGTTACAACTGAGCTAATTTTATGACATGTAATCATCGCCTCACTATCTTGAAATGTGGAACATATCCTTTAAATGATTTCATAAAAAGTACATTGATATACATTACTAAAGTATCAACATACACAAGGTAAA